AACAAGACGCTCTTCTTTCGTACCTATTTAACTCAAACGGTTGGACCGTCAAAACGTCGTTCAAAAGAAAACGATTCAACTTTCGTTTCCATTTCTGACGCAATGCTCAGTAAATGACAAAGCAATAAAATCAATTTTCACGTCTCGGTGTTCATAAAAAATCAAAAAATCAAACCGAATTTAGAAAATTGAATAAAAAATATGGTTAATCGAATCGATCGATATATATTTATATGTATATTATATATTTTTAATATATCTCACATATTATCTATATATTATATATAAATATGTGTATTATATATATAAATATATACATATATTTATATTTATATTTATAATATATAATATATTATATATCATTTATTATTTATAACATAATATATTATATATATTTGTTTATAATATATGTTCTAAATATAAAAAACCAAAGAATCGGCTAGACAAAAACCGAAATCAATCAACCGGTTAACTGATGATATTGGTTCGAAGATATACAAAAACCGGTAGAACCTATTCGGTTTCAAAAAATCTCCCATAATTTAATTATCTGAACCATGAGCACCCCTATGCATAAGAGTCTAGATTTTTTTCTCATGTAACGCTCCTCACACCAACCTCATAACACATTTTATTCATACATTAGGGATATGTTCAGTACTTGTGTGTTATTATTTGCAAGGAGATATTCTCATTACATAGTGGAATGTGTTTTGAGATTCATATGAGATGTGCCATGAGAAGCAAATCTCAATTCTATGCAAAAGCTAAAAATAGAATTAAAAAATTAAAGATGTTGAAGGAAATTGGGTAGAGGGGGATGACAAAATCTCAAGAGTCCTAATGGATCATTTTGGAGACATTTACAAATCTGCAAACCCCCAGTCTGTTGACATAAAGAGCTATGGGAGCTTGTACCAACACTATTATAGAAGATATGAGGTCTACACTAGAAAGGGATGTAAATGAGGAAGAGATAGAAGTTGCTTTATTTCAAATGGAGCCCAAAAAAGCTTTGGGGCCAAATGGTCTTCCTAATTTCTTCTTCCAAAAGTATTGAGGAATAGTTAAGGAAGATATAATCAATGCAGTAAAAGGTTTTTTCCACTCTGGGCACTTGTTAAGAGAATTGAACTCTACCTACATTACTCTAGCCCCTGAGGTAAATACCCCAGATTGTGCAACCCACTTTAGACCTATTAGCCTCTGTAATACAACCTACAAGACCATTGCAAAAGTGTTGGTAAATTGGTTGAAGCCCTATCTTGACTCTATCATCAGCCTAAACCAGAGTGCTTTCATTCTGGGAAGGGTGATAAATGACAACATCCTCATAGCCCATGAACTAATTCATCACATGAAAACCTCAAAAAGTTCAGAAGGAATAATGGCTCTTAAACTTGATATGAGCAAGGCTTATGACAGACTGGAGTGGGATTTTATTCAGAGGGTTCTTCTCAAATTGGGTTTTGGTCCAAGGTGGGCCCGATGGGTAATGGAGTGTGTATTCATAGTATCTTATCATATTCTAGTCAATGGTACTTCCATAGAAAAACTATTCTCAAGAAGAAGAATTAGGCAAGGGGACCCTTTATCTCCTTAACTTTTTCTCTTGTGCTTTGAAGTTTTCTCAACAAACTTAACTGGGCTGACCCAAAACTCCTTAATCTCAGGTATAAGATTAAATGTTCACTGCCCCATCATTTCTCACCTGTTTTTTGTAGATGACAACTATATATTCACAAGAGCCTCCCTTCAAGAAGGAGCCCATGTGGTGGAAGTCATTCAAAGATATGAAAGGGCTTCTAGTCAACAAGTAAATTTTACTAAGTTTGAAATCTTTTTTAGCTCCAGAACCCACCCCAAATTCATGAGAATCATAGCTAAGAGCCTCAAAGTCAAGCTAGTAAGGAGCCCCTCCAAATACCTTGGACTACATACCTTTTTTAGTGGAACCAAAGCAAATATCTTTTCCTAGTTGGTGGAGAGAGTTGAGAGCAAAATGAATGCTTGGAATGAGAAGTACCTAAGCCAAGTAGGGAAGGAGACTTTATTGAAATCTGTGGTAGCAGCTATTCCAACCTACGCTGTGTCATGTTTCCTAATCCCAAAAAAAAATATATATGTGGAGAAATAAATAAACTCCAAAGAACCTTCTGGTGGGGTAAGAATGAAAATAATAGTAGTAAAATTCATTGGGTGGATTGGAACACAATTACAAGAAACAAACTGGATGGGGGTTTAGGCTTTAGGGATCCCTATTGTTTTAACCTTGCTCTCCTAGCAATGCTTGCATGGGGAATCACTTCAAGTGAAAATAGCTTGTGGGCCCAAGTAATAAAAGGGAAATGCATTAAAAATAAAGATTTATTAAGGGATGGTCTCCCCTCCTCTATCTCTTGGGGATGGAAAAGCATCCTAGCTAGAAGAAAGCTTATCCAAAGAGGAGTTGTTTGGTCAACAAAGGCAACAACCTCTCAATTTGGGGTGATAGTCGGCTGCCACAAGTAGAAGGTTTCAAGCTAATGGGCCCAAGCCCAGGGCTAGGTTCCCTACCATGGTAAGTGAACTGGTTGACAGTAATAGCAAAACATGGAAAGAAGCTCTAGTAAAGGACTTGCTGGGGGATTTCTATGCAAACAAAATTCTGAAATTGAATTTGGTGAGAGGGGAGTGGGAGGATGTGCTAGCCTGGACACTAGACTCGAAAGGAAAGTTTACAGTTGGGTCAGCCTACTATGTTGCAAAACAACTTACTAAATTAGATAATACTGAGATTGGCCAACCCTCCAAGTGTACCCTCTGGAAATCCATATGGAAAATCCATGTTGAGCCCAAAGTCAAAACTTTCCTATGGAAATGCAACAGAGATGCAATTTCTGTTAGAACCTCCTTAGGAAAAAGGCAAGTAGTAAACAATAATACATGTGGAATTTGTGGTGCAACAGTAGAAACTGCCTTCATCCATGACTTTTGTTAGTGTGAACCGACTAAGAAAATTTGGTTTGGCAGTGTTTTCAATGCTCGAATGGACACCTACCCTATTGAATTAGCTTTTAAAGATTGGCTCCAAAGCTGGCTTCAGTCTTGTGCTCAAGTGAAGGAGGATGCTTCCTTTCTTATCCAAAATACCGCCTATATGTTGTGGTTCTTATGGAAAGCAAGAAACTCTTTTCTTTTTGACAACACTAATAGCTCTCCAAATTTGGTTTGGATGAATCTACACAGGCAATTGCAGCTCATAATAGGGATTTTGAATACTCAGGAGATACAAATGTATCTAAAACTGCAAAAGCTCTAGTTCTTTTTTGGCAACCTCCTCTGGTAGGACAAGTGAAAGTTAATGTTGATCAAGGGTCAAGCATAATAATAAGGAGTGTTTTGGAGTTGTGATCAGATATTTGAATGGTTTTGTTTTGGCAGCATGTTTTGGTCTTGTTCTTGTAGCTTCAGCTCTCCAAGCAAAGGCCACAGCTATGAGACAAGGTTTGGACTTGGTTAGACTCTCAGGTTTCTCCAACTGTGTGGTGGAATCTGATTGTAAAGTACTTCTCTCGGTTGTCAGTAAAAAAGATCTCCCCAGCCTACCAGAGATCTCTTCTCTCCTAAAAAACATTGATAATGCAATGGGCTCCTATGACTGTTTAATGGGTTGGCCCATACCTTAGCATAGAGAGGTGTGCAGGATCGAGGTTTATTTTTGTTTGATTACCTGGAGTGGATCATGAAGTTAGTTGGATCTGATTCTACATAGCCTATTCTGTTTTTTCTTCTTTGTTGTTTGTTGTTTTTTTTTTTTCTTTTCTATTACATGTTTGTTACAGACCATGGTTCTATTTGCTTGAAATGAAGTATTCTTTTTCCTACCAATATTATATATATATATATATATATATATAAAATAAGTATGTATGTATGTATATGCAAAAGCTATCATTTCTAGCAAAATAGGAGTGCTTATGGTTCGGTACCAAACCATGGGCTAGTTTTTGAAAGTGAACCAGGGTTATTGGTTTTCGGAAAATCGGTAATTGAAACCAAACCAAATCCGATGAATTAATCGATTGATCGGTTTGGTTAATCGTTGGTTTGGTTTGTCGGTTTTTCAATTTTTTATTATTTACAATATTTATTATAGAAAAATATATAAATATATAACAAAATACTAAAAATATATATATATAATATTATACTTTAAATAATAAATAATATATTATATATTATAAATATATATATTTATATATAATGCATATTTATTAATTTATAATATTTATAAATATATAATATATGGTATATATAAGTATACATAAAATATATATATATAAGTATATATTTATATATATATACTTATATATATATAAGTTATATATATAAGTATATATATAAATATATATATATATAAGTATATATATAAATATATATATATAAGTATACATAAAAAATATATATATATATAAATATATGTATACCAATCGATTCGGTTATAAGTATATAAATATATACCTTCAGTTTTTTAAAATATTAAACCGAAATCAAATCGGCCGATTTGGTTAACCTAGATTTCATTTGATTTTTTCGATCGGTTCTATTTAATTGTTTTTCTCACCCCCTATCTGAAGCATCTTCCGTAATTGTCATCTGAATTGTCACTAGGAGATTTTCCGTAATTGTCAAGGTTGGAATGTACTGTGTGGCGTCGATGGAAATTCAATGATGCTTCCGTTCCTTAAGACATACGCGCCCTACGACGTCTCATAGCACATCCCGGCCGTGTATTAAAAACATCTCCGGATGATGTGTCAAAAATGATGATGTCATCTGAAGATGTTCTCAATATATGGCAGGATGTTCTGTGGGACGTTGTGGGGCGCGTCGGTGGTTTAAACTCGCCTCGTCCAACACATGTCACTGTCGTATCATGTGCTTGGTTACTCTTGATTGAAAAGTATCAATTTTCGTTCAAAGACAAAGGAAATTATAACAGATGATAGAAGTGGACAAAGTGACAAACAATTCAGCTGATTGCTATAATGCTATTTTTTTTCTAACGCTACTTTCTAGACGGGACCAGTCTGATTGATACTTACACAATCATTTTGGAAATTTCGCTTTCAATACCTCTAAAGCTATGTTTGGTTTGACTAAAGGTCCTAAGTAAAATTACCAGCTGGCAATTACAGATGAAAAATATATATTGATATATTATTAATTCCTTTTCTTGTACTACTATTAACGTAGTTAAGAAGATGTTGGTATCCACTCGTTGCCTTGAATGAAATTCTGCACCGAATACGCGAATACATGCTCGGCCGGTATCTGACTACTCCATGGCACCCTCGACGACACATTAGCCCCCGGCCCGGCATTCTGGAACTCACCATAGTAGAGCGTCCCCAATGCGAAGTCTCCGCCCCATGGCATCCAACCTTCTGGGTTGATGAGTGTCTCCATATAGCAATCTACGAACACTGTTCTCGAGTATTCCTTCCATGGCCTACCCAAAAAGTTTCTGTGGACCTTGGGGTTGGCATTGTACAGAGCCATATACTCATCTGTGGCATTGATGACACAATTCTGGAAGACGAAGCCAGTTGATTGCGCTGGGTCTGTGCGCCCATGGGCCGTGACCGTATTGGTCTCGCCCTGCTCGGGCTTGACTTGGCGTGGGCGGACTCGGATGAGGCAGTCCTGAAAGACGGCAGCCGAGTTGCCGAAGATGAAATCCACGTTGCCTTCTATTCGACATGATTTGTAGAATTGACGCACGGAATGGGCGTAGAGTGTGTCTTGATTGCCTAGGAATTCGCAATTCTCGAGTATGGAGAGGTCGCTGTCTGAGCGGAATGCCACGGCTTGGTGAGCGTCCGGCCCGGCCGTGTTCTCGAATGTTATGTCACGGGCCATAAACCCGTCCCCAATTACTCCTGCCCAACAGAAAAATTAATCAGCAAATGATTCATTGATTCTAATTCCATTATCAAGACAAGGACAATAGTCACCGACTACGAACTATATAGTCCTAATTTCCCATCTATAGTTTCCTCCACTAAAATAATTGCCCCTGTCGTCTGTCGAAGCTCGAAATTCTCACGTGAATGAGGATCTAATTCACATGCGATTATGCGAGGTAAGGTAACCGCATGGGAAATGGGACCTACTTGAAAAAATGAACGGCTGAGATCACGTGTATCATCAAACGCTCAATGGATAATGGAATGGTTAGGACTTAGATCTTAGATGTGGCTGTGCTTACCGACGGTTGCAGTGTTGAAGGTGGAGATACCAGGCTGACCCACGTTGAGCGAACCTGTAATGACAGTTTTGCCCATGCCATCACCCAAAAATACCACGTTTTTCTTCTCAAGCGGCACTCGAACCGTCTCCTGGTAAACGCCCTCTTTGATCCGAATCACAAACCTGCGCATCCCGGCGTAATCTGGCGTGGCGTCTACCGCCGACTGCACCGTCTGATAGCACCCCATTCCCTCCTCCTTACAGACTGTAACGTCCGGGGTTAACCCTGACGGAAAACCTCCTTTGAACCCCAAATCCGTCCCGCCAACTGAACCGTCCTCCCAAAACCCGGATCGCTCCGTCATTGGCGGCCTCCATGAAGCCATGTCGTTTCCGAACAGGTCGTAAGACACGATCATGCTAAGAGCGTTACTGGTCAAGCCGACCAATGAGTCCATGAACGCCATTGTTTCATTGACTTTCGAGGTGTCGTTGACGTATTTGAGGCCAGACCAGCAGGCGGAGTGGTAGAGAAGGGCCGCGCTCATCCAAGCCCGAGCGTCCTTGACTCTCCCATGTGGAAGAACCTTCGACGTCCAAGATATGCGGTATGCCGAGTAGCCTAAGACCTCCAAACAGTTCTTCGCGGCAATGGTGCGATTTGGGTTGCCGGCGGAGGAGGCAAGAATGGTTTTCACCATTGATCGGGCGGTTATGACGTTCTGAAGCGAGACAGAGATGGCGGACTGGATGATGTCGATGGGTTTTGGGTTTTGCGTGAGATTCGATGACTGAGCTATGGTGGTCGCGCAGGTGTCTGGATTCCGAGTGGCTTTGCATGCTTGTTGGATCTCAGGTGGAATCGTAGAAAGTGATGCTTTTAGGGACGGTGAACTCGGCCTTCTGGTTCTTTTGAAATGCGGGTGTACGGAGGAATTGTGATGGGAATGATGATGGGTGATTGCAGAGGAGATGGAGAAGAAGAGGAGAAGGGACAGAAGGGTGAGAGAGAGGAAGGAAGCCATTGAGATGAGATGTGATGAAGAGGAGTTTGGAGCGTTCCGAGGGGTGAGACTTGAGAGGAAATGGACTTTATGAATTTTCGGAAGTCCATTGATGAGGTGGGGTGGGTCGGTGATGGTAACGTTCGCCTTCTCTTGTTTTACGGGGGGGAACCCCAGATTAGTAAAAGTTTATTCTGGATTAACAGGATTTTCAGTTGATGTCGAAATGGCTAGCTGGCTAATGGCTACTGACTTTCAGTTCAGGCCGTTTAACAAGGTGCAGAAGCGGAAATTGATTCTATTGCTTTGTCGTTTACTGAGCGTTGCGTCAAAAATGGAAACGGAAGCCGAACCGTTTTCTTTCGGATGACATTTTGACGGTTCAACCGTCTGGGTCAAATAGGTACAAAAGAAGAGCGTCTTCTTGATGGAAGCCGGAAGAAGAGGGAAGAAGAGGGCTAGAGGGGGTTTCTACTTTCTAGCAGCACTCAGTCATCCAGTGGAGATCGGCGAGCCAGAACTATTACAGTGCAAGATTCAAGTGTCTGGTTTATTTTATTTTGTTTTGTTTGAAAGGATATTCTTTTCTGAAAAATGAGCAATGCATGGTTTGGGGCTGTATTACAGTGAAGTTCTAGTTTGTATTCAAAGAGCTATATGTTCTTCAACGCTTTAGATCAAAGAGGCATTGGAAATCTGACAAGCTTTAGATTCTAAGAAGTTGTTCTAGGAAGAAAGTTTTCTTCTGCTTTGCTGATCAGTACAGAGGACAAGTACACGAGAAAACTTTGTTTTCCTTGGCATTTACATGAAAACAAATTAGAAAGGAGCAGAAAACAAATTTTTTGCTGTAAGAGAGGCACCGATGATAGCTGAAATATTTCAGACTGAATCTTTTCTGTCCATTGGCGGAGAAACAAGCACAACTTAAAGACAAATAAAGGGGATGTGGATCTGACTAGTCAAGTGACTCAAATGACAAATCTGAGCCTGTTAGCCGTCATGGATCAATCTGTTTGTTTTGTCGTTCTCTATAGGATTTACCAGTCACAGTTGCAGGTAACCAACATGATCATCAAAGTTTTTTGTTGTTGTTACAAGCATGACAGTCATGTATAATTGACCAATGACTAGTTTTATGTTTTTATTCGGTTGCTGCCATTGGCATGCCGGGATCACTGTCCTCTTCTGATTCCATATCTTTGAGATTTTCAAAGGGGGCCCTTCTTTTGATTTGATTTGTATGAACTGGACACTATTTGTACATTATTAACATTATTATTGTTTCCTTTTTCTTCTAGGAATTTACCATCTCTCCTTGGTGGAATATATGAATGATGGATGCAGCCCAATGCATGTACTAATTTCATATCCAGGCGGCTAGTAAACTGTTCTCGTGGTCAGCATGACAGGTTCTTCATATCTTTTTATGAAGTCCAGCAGTGTCGCCATCATCATCTAAGCCTTGTTACAACTATATGGGGTCAGCTACCTGTAGATGCTTTAGACTCAAATTATTCTTTTGTTGATAAACTCACAGTTACATGGCATTTGGTCTTGCATGCATACTTCGTAACATATTTAGCGCCAGTAAATTTTTGGGAGTTCATATGACTTATTCTTGAAGGTCTTGGCTATGAAAGGTGATCTCTATTTTCTTTATCATTTCTCCTTTCCATCTGGAGACAGGCTTGGTCGAATTAATGGGTTCTGTGGATAAGGCACTGCAGGTGCACACTAGGAGGCACACCTCCAAGCAAGGCACTAAGAAAATGCTTGGAGGTGCACAGTAGAGGCGTGGATACACTTGAGTCATATGCCCAGGCATACACTTGAGCCGAATGCCCTTAGTATATGCCTCTTATGTTCTTACCTTTTAAGATGGTTTTTTTATGGTAAAAATATAAAAGTGGAGGAACCATTTTGTTTGGTTACCTATTGTATATTAGCACAAAGCAAAGGATGAAATTCCTCCAAATTTGTATATTGCAATGTTATAATAAAATGTTATAAATAGAAGTAGAGGCACCACCATAGCTTTGATTTCTTTAAATGCATTGCATTCATCTAAATATGAGATGACAAACTTGCTTATGTTAATGTTGTGTAATTTATGTGAATTGTTAATTCTGGAATTATGGTTTGCAGCTTTGCAAGTGATATAGTGATGGCTGATGATATTTTTATAGTTATGGATGGTGATACTTCAATCCCATGTTTTAAATATAATGATTTTATTATTAGAAATTACAAATATGAAAATTTTTAATTTTTCTTAAAATTTCCTGTTTTTATAGGATATTTACTATCGTCTTTATTTATTTTATCTTATTTCTAATTATTTATTAATTAAAACATCCATGCTTAGGAGGCTTATGCTTCTTGCATTCTGGTTTATGCCTTAGGATGGTTGAATGCCCTGTACCCTGTATCATGTATCCATGTTTTAAATCACTGTTTGTGGAAGTTCATTCAGTAGTATCATCTAACACTGATATATTATTTTGCAGACAATTATTTATTCATTTATTTTGTTTTGGCATCACCAGAAATGCATTGGTTTTGTTTTATGATCAATTGGATCAAGTTCTTACCTTCTATACCTTATTAGTTTAAACTGGACACTGACACTTGCTAATGTTGGTATGTAGAGTTGTTAGATTCAGCAGCTGATAGATACTTGACATACTGGCATGTCTATATATGATTATAAAGTACACCATTTAGAAGTAGTATGTAAACAGTATTCAATGTCCTGTGTTGTGTGTTTTGACTTTGCATAGTTTGTAGGCTATGAATCAAAATCCCTATCTCTGTTAAGATGCCCATGTGGTAAAGTGGACATTTAGGATCTTGGCATGAAGGTTCCACTAACACCTTCGAGAATCAAATTCCTCTCATGCAATAGAACTTTTAATTGTTCAAAAGCCCAAAGATCAGCTTGGCTATTCACCTATTGTCCCACTTCAGGTTGCTCTGGTTCCTCTAACTAGTGATTGTAAAATATGGTGTAAATATGTATAGAGATACATCTTGATTTTAAGGGGAAATATAGTACTAGAAAATAACATTTGTGCAGGAATAGGTTCTTCTTCTCTTTGGCTGGATATTCCAATTGAGGGGGAACTTCTTGGATGGTCTACAGTTCAAGAGCCAGAGTGATCAGACAATTCTAGCTGTCCGACCTTTAGATGGTCAATAAAATGTATGCAACTGCATACTAGTCACAAAATCTTTAACCCTCGTATTGGAAGCTATATTATGTGGTTGAGCTAGATCCCAATTATGCACTGCTACCATGCTTATGTTTAAGAGTCACTTTTGAACTCCTAATATTTCTAAGATGTATATAACTATATTTTATGAATTCCCACTTAATTGAATTGAACTTCCACTCTTCATGCTATGATCCATACAAGAGAGGGCCTTTCTTATACAACATGATCGGTCAATGTTTTATGGGGAGGCAAGACCTCATCACGTGTGGCATGACTTTTTTATTGGTTAATTGTAATGTTGTAACATGGATGTTTATGTTTATTACCACCAGTGATTTTAAATCTTCATACTTAAAATTGTGAGAGGATCTGGAAAGGACAATTGAATCATATCCACACTTGAGAGCTGAGTGTCAACCTAAAGAAGATGGACCATCTAATGTTCTCATATATCTTGGAAGCGGAAAGGGTATGCATCCTTTTTAAATCAAAAATGTTGTCCTGACCACATAGTTCTGTCCATCAGTAGAAGTTGTGGTACCAACTGAACTGTTATGTTATCTCCCTTTTGGCTGCTAGATACTAAGATTATGTAGATTATGATCACAATCAATGATTTAAGCACCAATAATTTAACAATGGATATGGCACAAACACTAAGAAATGGTGAAATAGGATTCATGTAGCTGACCCTATATAGTTGGGATAAACATTGATGAGTTAAGCACCAATGATAATGATGATGAATGGTCACAGCCAGTAAATTAAGAGGCACTAACTTTTGGGGCTAAAAGTTAGATTTGGTTGTTTGAAAAATTTTCCAATAACCAACTTAGGATCATCCAATGGGGTATATCTTGGAAAATGGCCCTTTAACCAAAAAAAAAACTAGGGAAAGGCCCATTTTTTCAGGGATGAACTTCACATTCTGTTGGTAAAGGTAGTCTGAATCTGCTTCTATTTTGCATAATTTATTAATGTTCCTAGTGCTAACAACGTTTTGCAGTTCCCAACACACTCCTGTGGAAAAAAAAAAGCAGATGCTAACTAAAAGAAAAGAAAACAAAAAAGACTTCATTGATTGTATACCTCTGACTTTTTGCTTACTCACTGGTCATTGTTCAAGAATTAGCCAGTTATTGATGTAAACTCTGTATTTTATCTATCAAAAAAAATTTTGATGTAGACTCTGTAGTCATTGTCCTAATTCTTGGGTTGGTTCCGTAGCCAACCCTCAAATGAAACTGGTCAGTGACTTGGAGTTTTAATCATAAGATGGCCACCATAAGCACCACCTCTCTGCTAAGAGCAAGAACTCTGTTGGTTCAGATTGGGCTATATATACAATTGATAAATCCTACATTGTATTTTCACTTTTCTGAAGAGACATCAAAAGGGTTGCTCTTTTGGCTGTGTCCACATGGAACTCTGCAATTAAAATTCTAAAATCCCTTTGCAAGGGAAAGAACTGGAAACTGTTGTTCAAGGTATATACCCATCATCTCTCTACTCTCATTTCATTTCATATGTATCTTACTATTTTTATGCTTTTTTTATTTTCTAAGTTTTAACTTGTTAACAGTACTCTCTTTTTACTGTCTGAACTAGATAGAAACAACTTAATCTAGACAAGGAATGACTTTCAGATGTATATACACTGCAGGGAGTGCATCTGCCTGAAATGCAACTTAGGTAATTTAGAATGTTAGAAGAGTATCTCAAGTTTCTCAAATTGTAACTGAGGGGGAATCACACTGGTTATTACTATGTACAGCACCACAGCTTGTGTGCATATGGAGCTTAATAGTAGACTTTGTTCTGGAACGTTAGACACAATACACATCTCCAGTTATTCGGTTATCATGTTTGCCATCCAGGACCTATCTGGTTCCATCAAAAGGACCTATTTAGAGGTGGTATAGTTCTCACTGATTGTTTTTGCTGTATACTGATGTTTCTTTACTGTTGAAATAAATTTATTCTCAGCTTACTTGGAACCACTTCAGAGAATATTCATTACAAGTTTGTACCAGATTTTTCATGTCTCTTTCCATATTCCAAGTTCATAAATGTCCTACATAACCTATGAGAATCATGGCGATAAATTATGATTAATAGAAAAAATATAATGACTTGGAAAGTCAGAGTGTTGGCACTTTATTGAATGTTCCCTTTCTTTTGGCAACTTGTATGAGTGTACCAAGCCAAGTGTGATGCAGAGCCAAAGGGAAGTGAAACCCATTCCTTCCTTTAGATCCATGTAGTCCTTCCTGTGGCTCCATGATGGGCTGGTAATTAGATTCTTACAAATCCATGTGAATCTGACTCAATGCCATGGGCCACAAAACCCATACTCGTAGGCCCACACTCAAGACACCCATGACAGTCAAGTGAACTTGAGCCCATTTTAGTGGATAGCCCAAGTGGGACTTGTAAATGATTTCTTAATAAAAGCAGTCAAAGATTTGGTAAAAGATGAGAAAATCTTTTAAATTTGTTTAGATTTGAGTTTCTTCTCTTTGTTAGCAAATTTTTCCTTGTTTATTAGGAAGGTAATTATCTTATAGATCTCAAAGAGAAGTGTTGTTTTTCTATAAAAAAAAAAATCATTATAAACATTTGAGAAATGAAAGTTGAATTGCTTTCTACAATTGTGGTTTGGTGTTGACTCCAAGCTTGACAGGGCCCTACAAGAGCAGGCTAGCCGCTCTTGAGGGCTGATGTGGGAGAAGCTGCAAAGACAACGGCGACAGGCTTGGCGGATGGGGAGGTGTCGCAGCTGTGCCACATCAACAGATCAATAAATGATCTTACGATGGTTGGGCCGTTGGGGTATTTAATGTGGCATAGCTGCATCAGGACTATGGTGGAGAGAGTTACTCTGTGAATGACACGTAAAACATGAAGGTCCTTTACAAGAAGATCAACCATACATTCAGGTACAGAAGACTATGCAAATGCAATCAAGCAAGCAACCTTCGCTAAGTTGTGAGCCACTCGATTTGCCGTACGACACGCATTGAGTGAGGTGAGTAGACAATCGGTAAGTTGTGACACAAACTCACACAGCAGACGAAGAGATAAAACTCCTGCAATCTGGCAATACCCCAAGGAGGGTTGGGACTTCGCCAACAGAAGTTTCACTAAGAGTAGACAATCGGTCACAATCTGAATAGCGTTCAGGCCTAGCTCTTTGGCAAAAATTAGTACATGTAGAATTCTCTAACAATGACACCAACGGTAATCTCATTGCTCTTTGGCATAGCGATAATTTTTGACAATTCTACGGCCATAGCGATAATATTTGATGATCAGGCCAAATAATGGACCTAAAAGATAGTGTTATTCGTTGGAGTGGAGCCCAATCTGTGGAAAAGGGAGGGCGGCTATAAATATCCTCCAAGTAATAGCATTAAAGAGAGGAGAAAAATCATCAGCACCTCTCTCTCATCACCTGAAACCCTGCTCTTCTCACCTTTCAAGTTTACCCCCGGCCTCTCCTACGGAAACTGGTTCGCACTGTCCCCTATATACTTGGGCCGGTTCACACTGACCTCCAGGATTGTGCCACGTATCTCGTTGCACTTCCAAACCTCAACACCCTTCTATACCTTAACCAGCATATTGTTTCATGGGTAAATCTATGATGCGGAAAAGATATGGTATGAAAAGAGTTTTGACCAATCAAAGCTCATCCATGAATTTTGATTAAAAAAAAAAACCTTATTTGCTATGACGTTTATGATTCCACTTTATTGGTCAATTGTTTTTCAAATATCATATCTTTTTCATATGATAGTGGCACCCATTGTTTCACTTTAACCATCCTATAGCCCTTTTCAAACTCTTTTTTACCAATTTAGATTTATGTAGGTACTCACATCATGCATGGGTATTGAGGCTTGAGGTTATTTCAACTTATTAATAAATGATCTAAATTAAATGCAGGAATGCCCTTTGCCTTCAGTTTTTGTTTGATTGGTTTGTTCTCACCGCTTTCAGACTCGAGTTCTTGGACTAGCCTTTTTGGTGATTTGAGACGTGGTTGAAATTGTAGTATGTGTAGTTTCCCCGTGTTCTGTATCGCCTCCAGGCCTGCATAAATTGGCCGTTCAAAATGTGATCTGTTAGTATACTGTGATTTGAATAAATGACCTATTCTTCTTGTGTTTGAACTTTATGATTTGAAATTTCCAAGCAAATATTTTTTGAGGGAACTATTATTCTCGGTATGCTGTGGTTTAGTTTTTGGCAAAATATGCGGGGTATGGACTGCAACTGCACCATGAAACTTCAACGTTGTTAAAGTCTTTAATGGTGTAAAATGTGGAATAATGAAAAATAAATAGACTAAGAGGCATCGTGTGTTTGGTTGAAATTTGATTTAATGACCAACAAATATTTGAAATGCACTGCATTTGGACTCTTACTTTGTCAATATCACATTTGATTTTGTTCCAAGTGTTTTTATTATTTAGGCCCTGTTTGGGATGGCTGAAGCTTTAATTGGCTACTTTCAATAATTCACTTTGGAAAAACTACTAAATAATCTTGACTGGAAAGTTATTTCTTTGGCTGAATGACAGTATTTGGGCTTTTCTAGATTTTTCACCAAACATTTGTGTGGGGACTGACACTTTTCTTTTGTCATTTTTTTTTCTATTAACCTTTTTGGCTACACAATATCAACATGAGTAACACATCCCCTTATCCAATTACCCATAACCCCAACCTTGGTAATAGCTGGATATGATCACAAGTTTATTTACAACCAGTTAGCATTTAGCACTAGCATGAACTTTTCCTAGTTTCATGTCTTTTAAATTTACTATTTAACCAAGGTTTTTAAAATAGAATTGGACAATGAACTGGTTAGGGGTTTGGTTTTCGGGTTAAATGGTTCGATCATTCAAACCAAATGGATGGCCCATTCTGACAAAAAACAAAAAAATGGCCAAAACCGTTGGATGATTCAATCACTCGGGTCAGTGGTTTGCTGATCAAATCAACGGTTTTTGGCAAAATAACGGTTCTGAAGTAAAACAGAATCGATCACCTAATCGGTTCCCAATTTTTCCGGTCCGGTCCGGTTTTGAAAATTATATATTGAACCCATTAAATCAAATTGTTGATTAATTCCATACCAATTAGGGAGAAAGATTCTACATCCTCTTGGCTTAACAATGGCAAATGCATCTTCCAGAAATATAGAATTTCCTTTTAGATGATTTTAAGGAGTGAGAAACAAATCCAGTAATATAATTCCTAGAAGGAATTGAATCCAAAGAAAAAAAAGTGAATGGTAAAATAAACAACAACAACAATAATAATAATAATAATAATAATAATAATAATAATAATAATAATAATAATAATAATAATAATAATTACCCCAACCATATAGGGTCAACTACATAATCCTGTTTTGCCATTTCGTTCAGTTGAGAAAAGTAGATATTCATATTTAACAAAAAAAGATTCTACTAAAAAAACATGTTAACTAGAAAAGGGGGATACTGGAAAAAAGAAAAAAACAAGGCGAATGAGTTATAAATTTGGCACATCCTTACTGAAACTGTTTGTTACCAGGGAAGTCAAAGGGGGGTATTTCTGTCTTTTAATAGTACCCTAAGTCTATGGTTTGCCCGGATTCTCAATCTTGTTGATGAATGAAATTGATCTTGGGCCTTAACCAAAAAAAAACTGTGTTATGCCCAATAGCAAAAATGGGATGTATTCCAATCACTCTCCCAAAGAAATATATATAGCAAATAAGTTTGTCAAGGATTTGAATTTTGTACTAATGTAGAGGGCAATGTCTATGATGCATGAAAGGTATGACTCCGGAAGATCTTTGACTAATCAACCCCNCCCCCCCCCCCAATTTGTCAATAAAGGTATGACACCTGATTGGTTACTACTTCTCTAATAATGGTAATTGATATATGTTTTCCTAGTATCATAATCGAACCCTGTTAATAATATATAATAGTCAATTTTAATGTGGGGCCAACTAAATTCTATGGACAGGATTATATTTTATGATCATTGTCACCCAAGCCTTATCCCAATTATATGGAGTGGCTATGCTATATCCATTGTCAAATCATTGGTGCATAAATCAATTCTTGTTCAAAAAAAAAAAAAAAATCAATTCTTGTTACTTTTGTCCATGTCATTTTTTGTCTACCCCTTACCCTTCTATCCCCTTTAATTTGTAACAAATCATTTATTCTTATGAGTATTATTGATGGTCTTTTATGCACATGACCATATTTTTTAGTCTATTTTCTCTCACTTGTCATTTATTGGAGCTACTCTTAAATTTTTATGTATGACTCCATTTTTTATCTATGCTTTCTAATTTTCTCATTCATCAATCTAAGTATACACACTTCTACTACTAGGGGTGAGCAAATGTGGAGGTTTTACTTGGAACTAAATGGAATCAACCTTGAACCAGCATTGAACTGACCTTACCCAATGTATTATTAAGGTAGGGTTTGGTTCAAATTTCTTGGAAACAACTTCCACATAAGTCAATTCTAAGGTCCAGGGGTTTATCCTACCTGGAGAACCGGCCTTGATAGAATCAACCTTGTATGACCTTGGTCCTCAATGGATTTGGCCTTAGAATTGAACTTGTCTTGGAATAAATCCTAAAATACTTTAAGAATGTGAATATTTGAACTCAAGTAGTCATGGTTACAAAGATAATAGTTTCATTTGATCATTGAATCACTTGAACAAATGGACCATTTCTCTTCAATTTAATATTTGAATGTGCATACTAAGTAATGTAAAAAGTAATATTTATAAAATTTAAATTATAATGATAAGTTTTGGACTATGTTATTGTTGAAAATCAAGTTTTTAAACAACAAGTTATGTTTTCTTTGGGGGGGGGGGGTAAAGAAAAAATAGGTTTCATAAGTATACTCTATAATTGCTAAGGCCATAACTGACCTTGAAACTAATATTTAAAGGATAGGATCCTATTCCAAAGACCTAGAGTGGACCCTTACATGGTTGGTTCCAAATTTTGCCCTTGGAATCGAACCAAATTGGTCCATGCTCACCCCCATCTACCACACTCATTTTTCTTGATATTTTTTTTCTTGATTGCCAAACACTTTGGTCCATACAACATAGCTAACCTTACAACTATTTTATAGATTTTTCTTTCATTCTAAGTGGTATTCACTTATCACATAAAACTCCAAATCCACCACCCATTTTGTCCATCTTGCTCTAATTTTATGTGTGGCATCCTCCTGAATCTCTCCCTTGTTATGAATTATCAAATTAATATAACAAAAAAAGGTCACATTGAGTTATCTTCTTGGTCTTTGATCCCAAATGTATCCTAATTTGCACTCCCATTGTTATTGAATTTGCATGCCATATATTTTGTTTTAGTCATACTTACCTTAAATCTCTTATTTCTAAAGCATTTTTTCATAAACTTAATTTAGCATTTAATCCATCAGTTTCATGATGTCATTAACAAACAACACGCACTATGAGACCTCTTGAGTATTTTTAGTCAATTCATCCATGACCAATGCAAATAAATAATGATTAAGCACCAAGCCTTGGTGAAGGCCCATTATAACCATAAAATTTGATTTCTCTCGTACATGTGTTCTAACATTGGTTGTTGTAGCATCAAACATATTTTTAATTAGGTCTATATACATATTTTCAAACCCTTTTTTTTTAAGACTCACCGTATTATCTCTTTAGGAACTTTGTCATATTGCTTTCTCTAAGTCAATGAATACTATATGTAGATTTCTCTTTTTTTCTTTAAGTTTTTCTATCAATCTTCTCAAAAGAAATGTAGCTTTTCCACGGTTGATCTCTATGGAATAAACCCAAATTGATTTTCTAATATACATATTTCATGCCCTACTCTTTGCTCAATTGCTTTCTCCCAAGGTTTTATATTACCGTTCACATCCTTAATCCCCTAATAGTTATTATACCTTTGTATATTACCTTTATTCTTAAACACAAACATTGGGGTGGGGGGGTTCAAACTATACTTTGAGGCAAATGTGGTGATTGGCTAATTTGTACATCAAGGCATATGGGGAACCAAGGCTCCGCTAAGTCCCCCTAGCTCTGCCCCTAACAGGCATTATATTAATCTTTCTATAATTATCAAGCATATTATTTTTTTCCACCATCTTATCGAAAAAACTAGTTAGCCACAATAAGCCTACCTCTCCCATGACTTTTCATAATTATATTGGAATCTCATCACATCTTTATATGTTTCCCTTTTTGACTTCAATTATTCATTTAATAACCTTTCAAAATAGTTTTATTCTTCATTTTTCTTGATTTCCTCGTCTTTTATCGATACTTCTTGATATTATTCTTTAAGGTACCTAATATGATTTAAATTTTATCGTGTCATTTCTTTCATCTTTGCTATTTTATAAATTCTATTTTCTCCCTGTTTAGTTCTTAATTTATGACAAAACTAATTGTATGCCTTGAGAGTTTAATTTAACTTACTTTCTTTTTAACTTCATTTTTATTGTTTATATTTTTTTCATAGTTTTATGCATTTTTAGTCTTTTGCCATTCTTTGTAAAATGTTTGCTTTCATTTAATTATATTTTGAACCTCTTAATTTCACCATTAAATTTCTTAAACACTTTTCCATTTCCCTTTAGACTCTCTTCAGAAATTATTTGTTACTTTATTTTTGCAATTTTCAATTTCAAGCCATATATCATTAATATTTCCATCTAAATTATATTTTACTTTTGCAATCGATCTATCCCTAAATTAAACTAGCATTTTTTACCTTTTAGGTTTTCCCTCCTAATTATTAGACAGCTATTTTATTTTCTCTCTCTTTTCCATTTTCTAATGTGCACCTCCACCGTTAATGTTGTAAACAAAATTCAACACTTCATCTAACATCCAATGATTATTCTGGATTCAAATGATTTTTTAGGTTGTGTTTGAGACAACTGCAAATGCTGGTTCTTGGGTCCAAATTTTGCAAGTGTTTGTACTCTTCACAAATGTAACATTAATTTAATGTAATCAGATAGGATTTAGGTTTTTGAGCTTGCATTCATTTAGGCTCTGTTTGTTTGTGGTGTAAACTTGAACTCCTGTCTGGTTTTGCATGCGTTCGGAACTGTTGTTGTTATACTTTGTAAATTGATGTAAAACTCTATGAAACTATTTACATCAATAATCCGTGTAAATATTAATGCAATTTTTTAAATGTAAAATGGATTTTCACCAATCTCAGATCTAGTGAGAAACACCAAATCTATTGCCATTATTAGAGAGTTCCCTCTTCTTTATTTCCACTTTGAAAGCTATCACTAGTATCTACATCTACAACTCCCTATTCCCTGGTTAAGAGTCTTAACGAGATTTTATGTTCTCTTCCTATGCTTCTTCTTTCAACGGTTGGAAGCTTGATGATGGACAGTTGAGAACTTGAGATAGACTAACTGAGGACCCTTCCTTGTCTTTCTCTTATGATGAGGGCAGATTTGGCCCTCCAATAACCTCATGACACATGGCACCCCAAAACAGTTGGACGACACCCAGAGGCCACCTAAGCGATGATTTGGAGTCCCAGATCGTAGTTCGTCTTCGCCCCGACCTGGCGACCTGCCTTTATCATTGACCTGGCTACCTCGACCACAACTTAGGTTGGCTTGCAACACCTTGTCCAGGGCCAACTTGTAGCACCTCGTCATCGGCCGAAGTGACCTTGACACAAGGCGTGATCTCTCTCGAGGGCTTGCCGACCTAACTGAGGACTAGTCGGTGACCTGCGAGATGTGCTCATCGACAAATTCGGCATGCATACCCCGACACTCCCGGGTTTCTTTGAAGTTGGCCCGCGTACTGAATGTTCCAGAGGATGGTCAACGTGCATAGCGGTTACTTCCGAGGATTTCGAACCGGTAAGGCATGACCTCTCGGAAATCTTAGATGCGGTGCGTGAAGCCTATGCCAAACAATGCCTATATAAAGGCACCAATCCCAATGACACAGGGTACGCGCGATTATTTGCTCACTATCTTACTAGCATACAAACTTTTAGCTCGCACAACCTAATGCTGACTTAAGCATTGGAGCGACTTTGCCAGGTTAGCCACCCCGGGTTCTCTAATCCTCTGTCTTGCAGCTTGGTCCAGCTCGCTACACAAATAAAGTTCAAGTCATCTTCCAACTAGGAGCTTCCAGATCGCGCATCATCTTCTTCCTTTCCCTACCTTTTCCTTCAAACCAAACATTGGCTTAATAAATCATAATTGAATGCATATTTGATCCTATGATCCGAATATTTATCTACACACACATACATCATACAAATGGATAATATACATTAATTACATAAACTTTATAATTAATAAATTCAATATTTTATATTTATGTAATTTTATTCTGTATGTATAAATTAAAAATGATTTAACATTTTATTTTTATTCATTTAAAAATAATGAAGAGGGCTTGGATTAAATTCAAATCCGACCCGATACCCCTAAATCCGACCTCTTTTGGTTCGAATTTGCTATTTGTTTCTATAAATCCGATGTAGTTTAATTCAATCGGATACGGATGTAATTGAATTCGATCCTTGTCCGACCCGCGATTACAGACCTATCTGCGCATAAATCCGGACCCATTGATTGGAGTTGGAGAGGAGGGACGGGAGCGAAAAGAATCATAATTCCAGTGATGATTGTTGTTCGTTGAGAATGAAAACGGAAAACCTAGAGGAAGGATAAAGACCGTTGATTGTGGGATTCATAATGGACGTGCTGTGAGAGCATAAATATTGTAGGGGATAAGGCACCAGATACTTTCTCCTCTTAAATATCTATGTCTTCGAAATCGCGACGCTGCCTCGCCAGGGTTTGAAATTCTCTCTGTCTTCTTTACACAAAGCCGAAGACTTCCTTTCTTCCAGTTCTCTCCTCCTGCTTCAATGAGCGACCTTGCAAGTTGTCTAAATCTCTTCAATCTCCATTTCAGTTCACCTTTAGGCTTTTTCACCTGATTTCTTGGATGGATTTTCTTTGGTCGTAGGTGAGTTTCGCCTATCTTACTCTGCTCTGCATTCTTCTTTGCCTTGCTTTTATTTCTTTTGCGTTATTTTCTTTTTTAAGCAGTATGGCTTGGCAGATCTCTAATTTGTTTTACGGTGTTTTGTTGTACTGGGCTCCTCTGGCTTTTGTATACTACGAGCTTAATTGTAATGATGTTGATCTTCGTAATTTTGGCAATTAGGGTTTTCTACGGGTGTGGCGTGTTTGTTGTTCTATTTGATTCGATTGTTTACTAAATACACCTTATTTTGTGGGTGTTACTGATATACCGCCTGAGAGAACGTCTAATTTCACTAGACGCTGTTTCCTTGTTATAATGCAGAAACCATAGCGGATTGGTGTGTTGGAAGTAGAATGAAAGAAATTGATGCTCGTGTTTACTAGAAAATTTTGACTTTTTTTTTTTTCCTTTTGGGGGGAATGCTTTGACATGTTTCCATGACTTTGTTTTTTCATGTGCAATAGCTTCCTTAGTTTTGTGTGTACTTAGTTTTTGCTTTGAAACTGTCTACACAGGTATGTGATAAACGCTTTAAATAACAATGCGGGCTCATTGTTGATGTGCACCTAAGCTCTTATTTGTCCCTAAACATAGCAGGATGGAGGGTCAAGATATGTGAAGATAATCCATAATAGTTGGAAAAGGATAGTTCTGTTGAATTGATATGAGTTAAGCTTATAGATGGAATTATAGGTTATAAAGGAAGAAAAATTATGCATGTTGTGAAATTAGTAATTACTTCGGTGGGTTAAAATTTTGTTTTTAATATGTTAGCTCTGTCTCAATATAACTATTGCTAATATGTGAAATTAGGATTGATGCTCATCATTTCTTGCTCTCTCTCTCTCTCTCTCTTGTCTATCCTTCTTCTTCTTTCCAGCTTCCAGTCTAGAAAATGTTTTCTATACATTATCAAGTTGTCCTGAGTGTCTTTTTGTCCTCATTATTTGTGAGGAGAAAAGTTCTGATCTTTAGAAAAATAAGCACATATATATATATATATATATATATATATATATATATATATTGATTCATGATTCTTTATTCTTCACTTTTGATGTGTTTGTTTCTTTGTATACAATTTAACTCTACCTCTGAAGACATTTCTAACCAAATTGCTGTTAGATATGGAGGAATTGTTCTTTCTATTATGAATTAGTTCGATGGTTCAGGGAAAACTAATGGAGTATAATTGTTTCTTGACTTTTTCAAGACTAGGGACTGTACATACATGGAAGTGGGGCCTTTCATTTCTCATCTCCAGCATGTTGATGGCACATTGGGTTTTTTTGGATGATCTCATAACTCATTTGCCCAAGTTAGGAAAAATAAAGCTGTTTTTGGGCTGTTTCAAACTAATTAAATCTTCATAAGAGTATTCATTATGGGGTGAGGAATTCAGTGCCACTCATGTCAGTTCTTGTTCTGCAATATTGGGTCGTTCGGTTGGGTCTTTTCTATGTTCCTATTTGTGCTTTCCATTGGGCAGTACCGAGTTTCTAAAAAATCATTGGGCTATTATTTACAAAGAGTTCAAAGGCATACCCCTAATTGGCATCTCTAGGGGGTGGCAGATCGTGGTTAGTTGTCAACCTAGAAGGCAACAATGGTTGGAATGTTGGGAAACATATCAGGATCCATGATTATGAGAGTTTAGCAAAAGTTCTAGTCCTGGCTGCAACCTGATGCACCCTCCTCCTTTGTTTGGGCTTGGGACTGGTGCTGTAAGACAAACTCACACTGGCAGAGTTGGGCTTCTCTAGTATCTGGTAAACTAAAATACAACTTTGAAGGGTGCTGCCTTGGTCATCTGGGAATGTCAAGGATTGGAAGTGTAGTAAGAGATCTTAGCTTCTCGGGTCTAATTGATTATGGCATTTCACTAACAGCTGATTTGCAAGCCTTAGTTCAGGGACTCAAATCGATGAGCATGAAAAGGATGAAGGATGTGGAAGTGGAGGGTGACTGCCAAACCATTACATTGTGGATTACAATCAATGAGGAGATTCAGACCATTGGTGAGACAGCTCAAATGCTTGGAACCAACTTGAACAGTTCATTCAAAAGGTTTCCTAGAGCTATAAGTGCTAACGTTTTCAGACTCTAGCTAGAGCAGGGGTGACTAAAGATCTGTTGGATTGGGGACGCCCAGGGCTGGGTTGTACCTTGGACTAGTTTTTATTTTTTGTATTTTAGAGCTCCTTGTCTGCGGAGCTTGCTATGTACTCCTTGGCCCTCTGTCCATTTTGGGCATTGTGGATTTTTTTTTAATGAAATCTGTTGTTACTTATCTAAAAAAGGCCTTTTCCTTTCTTTTGGTGGTTTGGCCATGCTCATTAAAATTTTCCAGAATGCATTCCAATTTATTTTTCCTCTCTCCGTAAGATGCCAACATTTATAGTGAGAAGTATGGAAAAAGGCAGGTTTTTTCTTTGTGTAGTAGAGGGGATAAGAAGATATTCTAACTTGTTAAATGGAAATGGATTTGCAAGCCTGCATTTTAGTGGTTTTGATCCTAGGAAGATGAGCCTCATGAATAAAGTTCTTCTTGGCAAGTGGTTGTGGAAAATTTTTCTAGAAAGGGAGGTGGCTTTATAGGAAAAGGGTTATCATAGCTAAATATGTAATGGTCTTTAAGGGTAGTTAATTATTCATAGGCATGATGTTTTAGAAAGGAATTATGAAAGGCTTTAAAGAATAGAAAAATCAACATGTGGATGATGTTGTTGAGTCAACAAAGATTCAGGTAGCACAGTGGGCTTTAACCAAAGAAGTCTTGAAAGGAACCCCTATGAATTCACCAAAGAGAGGATGGACTATTGTTGTTGGTTTTGCAGGTAGCAGGGTACAAATATTTTAATCATGGTCACCACTGTTGAAAGAAGATTTAAGTTAAATTTTGATGGTTGTGGTCTTGGAAATCCTGGACAATTGGGGACAGGTTGAGGTATTAGAGATGATCATGGGAGTTTTATCCTCAGCTTCTCACTTCTCAGGCCCAATTGGTGCGGATAATTCTCTAAGAGCCGAGATCACAGCCTTTCTGTCCCACACTGGCATCATCAATCAACTTATGTAATCTGGACGTGTAAAGCAACTGTCTGGTGGTAATATCATGGTTCTCTTCAAATGCTTTAGGCCATTGGGCATTAGGGCATCTGATCAGAGAGGCTAAGCAATTAATGCCAATATGGATTGCTTGTTTAGGCAGATCCCTAGAACTACTGATAGCCTTGCACAGATACTTTGGCTAGAGCTGGGACAGTAATAGAAGGCTTAGAGTGTGGCTATCCAGACCCAGGGTTATGGATTGAACTACTGCCTGATTTTATTTGTAATGTAAGAATGTGAGGAAAACTGTTGGCTGAATGTATATTGCTATTCTGGTCCTCATCTCCGTACTAGGGAATAGGGTTATCACTTTTCTTTCATTAATAAAACCAACTATTCACATAAAAAGGTTTTGAAGACCATACCCCACTAATGGAATTCAAATTGGGTGTGGGCCCAAAATCAGATTTTGAGAATACATTTGGAGTGTTGTTGGCAAGTTAAGTGATATTTGAAACTTGAAACATTTCAAATGCTTTAAGGTTATTGGAGGGCTAAGTTTCAGCTTATTGAGGAGTGGTATTATAGGCATTCATCTGAAAGTGAAGTAGTTGGAGACCTATGTGGACATTGTGGGTTGTTTTGTGGAGGCTTCAAATTCTTAGGGATGCCTCCTGCTGGAACCCAAAATTCATAACATGTTGGACCTGGTGATAGAAAAATATGAGAAAATATTAGCAAAATGGACGAGAAATTATATTCTGAAAGAAAGCATGTTCAAAATAATTAAAACTATCCCAGCCAGTATGTTAAAATATCTGTCAATATTTTGAATTCCGGCAGAGTTGAGAGATTGTATTGAGCAAAATAAAAAAAAAAAAAACTTTTTATGGAAGGGAGTTGGGGGGGGGGGAGAGAGAACAGACTTGTTGAGATGGAAATACATATGCAAGCCAAAGAATGAAGGCACCCTTGATATGTGTTTCCAAAGAAATATATGGCTCATGGGTAAGTGGCTTTGGAGAATTCCTTGCAAGCAATTGGATCTTTTGAGCAGCTGTTGTCTATAGGAAATATGGTGTTAACTCAAATGGGTGGGGCAATAACCTTAACTTGCACCAATTCTCACCAGTTAATCCTTGGAAAGGTATTTTGAAAATGTGCCCTCATTTATTTCATTTATCCATGTTTGGGTGGAAATGGTTTAATGATTATGTTTTGAATTAATGTTTGGTGGAGAAACTGACCCTTAACCTCAGCTTTTCCTCATATTTTCCAGCTTACCTACAAAGCCATTGCTTTTGGATTGTTTATTCCTGAGGTCCAGTGTCCATTTCTGGAACCTGTTCTTTAGAGGTCCTATATGAACTGAAAAAGTGTAGGCTACTTCTCTCATTGATCCCCTTAAGGAAGTGTACATATCCTATCTATGCTTGACAATGGAATATGTTCACATCCAGCTGATTTATTCATAATTAAATAGTTCCTTTTTTTTTCAAAAAATTTGTTATATACCGACCATGGTGCTCAACAATTACTATCTGAGCAGGTTTTTCCTTTGTACCCCCAAAGTTTCTTTGTTTGAGAAGCCACAAGGATACAGATTAACACTTATGACTGTCTTCAGAAGAATAGGAAGAAGAATTGGCACTTGAGTTCCTTTTATCTCCTCAGGCATGCATAATGTCCTTGAAGGATGTAGAAACTCCCTAACTCTTGCTGCATTGCATTGAGACAAGAAAGTTATTGCATTTATTTCTAGACCTGATAGGGTTGAAGTGGGTTGCTCCTGGCAGCAGAATGGAGCTGCTTAATTAGTGGAAATCCGTGCGTCTAGGTTCTCAGTGAAAGCTGTACTGGAAGACTATAGTGTATGCAGAACTATGTTGGGAGTATGTAAAGAGATGGATATTTAGATATTTTGAAGG